CTACATTTTTAGGCATATACATGTACATGTAGTTACAAAGAAAGATAATTCTTCACCTGCAGGTGTTTAAAGGGAAATTTCCGTATCTATTCCCAAGAACGATTTCAGCTCTAAAAATGAATTTAAAAGAAAACATTCAAAAGTTAAAAACAATACAAAAATATTCTCTTTTTTCATAATAATGTTATTTTTCTCTCAGAGGTTCAATACTTTGAGCGATGACGTCACAACTGCATCAAAACAAAAATTTACGAGGATGTTACAGAGGACAGATTTTTTTTAAAGTTACATTATCTATTGTTTATATAAATATGCAAATAAATATCCACAGAGCAGTATACAGTGAATTCTTTACACACACACATCGGATTAAACTGGAATTATGAGGAAGGAATATGAAGGCTGCTTTAAGAGTAGATAATTCACTACATTAAGACGACACGATTTGTAGTAAGATAACGAACTGGCGTTAAGAAGCAAACATCATGTATACTGTATGTGATTTATTGGAAATAAGTTGGATTAATCAGTTCTGCTGATTTAATGATCATCGATTTTTTTTCCGATGAAGACGAGCAGCCGTGCCCTTATCAGGTCAGGATTTCCTCTCACATTCTTGAAAACACCACAGAATGCAAATATAAGTAATAATCAGTTAGTTATAGTTATTTCAGTGAACATGGTGTTATGAACATCTTGAGCTCTGCAGACATATTTACAATAACGCCCTAACAGTTGTCATTGAATATGTCTCCAGAGCTAATATTATTCATAACCCTATGTTCACTGAAAAACATTGTTCATTTCTTACATCATGTTCATTTTTTGACGATTTTGAGTTATGCATTCGATTGAAAGAGATAGCAATATACTGCACTGACAGGTGTATCTAATTGCAGTTTAAATCTTTGCAATTCTTTTTCTTTTCCTAATGGAAAATGCAATTAAATTTGACCAACAAAAAGTTCTAAACTTTACACCGTCCCTCCCCCGCTGTTTCCCAACCAAAATTAAGCTTCCTTATAGCTAATACCCGCTTTATAAATACATGTGTTTTATGGCCAGTCTGTTTGCTTATAAACTCTTCACTGCTGGGACTTGAGATCATGTTACAAGCAGTTTCATTAAAGCAAAGTGATAAACAACAATCTTCTACATCAAATATTACTCTCTGTCAAACTGAAAGTAGACGTACTGTAAATTTTCCATCGCTAACTTTTCTTATTTATGTAGTAATATTCCAATATCACCTGCATATGATGTGTTTTATCTCCAAACTTATTAGATACTTAAGGATATGCTCTTAACACTTTCGATTTTTAAACATAGGCAGACTACTGACAATGAAGTTGGTGTTACAGGGGTTTCAATAATCACGTTTAATGTCAGCATTTCATAAATTCTATGGTCATTATAATGACTTTGTTAACAGATACATCCTATCACTGTTCGTATTTTGACTGACATATTACAAACCAATTGTTAGGCTTTTGATTTTATTATAAAATTTGATAACGGATTAATTTGTCTACTTGATCAATAAATGGGACTCATTCAGGGGATATTTCTGCTCCCAGGCACCTGATCCCTCCTCTGGAATTTATAAGAGTCCGTGTTTTATGCCCCGTTTACACATTTGTTCATAGGTTTTTTTTTTCCAGATCCATCACTGTTCGTTATCTTCACCTATTTTATACAAATGAAATATATGGAGATAATGAACAGTATTCAAGCTCAAAAGTCCATTAAACATTACAAAATAGGTGCAGAGCAAACACGGACCTCCAAAACATCAGAGGTGGGATCAGGTGCCATGGAGGAGTGAGCATCCCCTGCCGACCGGTCACACCCGCCGTGTGCTCCTTGTCATGATCGGGAAATAACGGGAAAATCCGTCGACAATTCAGTGTGTAAATAATGGCCTAACAATTAGTATGAAAAACGTCAGTCAGCATTTGACTCAATGATAATTTGTAATTGCTGACAAGGTCATTGTATCGACCATAGAATTTACGAAATGATGACTTTAAACGAGACTGCTGATACTGATGCTGAGACGGCAAAGAAAGGATCGGGTAGTGTAATATTCAGAAGTCAAATATGTGTCTTACGTAAGGCACAGAAAGTACAGAACAGTCAATAACTTAAATAAACAAATAAACTAATGTGCTAGTTAGACTTACTCGACACACAATTGAACGAAAAAACTTTTTTTGAAGGGAAAGGGTGTTTTTATGATAAAGGGAAGTACCTTCCTTCGCTATCGAACTGTCTTAATGCAAAGTGAATGCATATTAAGCTCCGTAGTTCTTAACATGTTATGACAGATTAACAAGAGGTTTCCAATAAATAGTAACAAAATTATGCGCATGTGTGCGCATATAGTTACATTTGCTAGATGCCTGACAATCATTGTTATCGGCGAAAGAATGATACCCAACAAAACAAGTAAAACAAGTATTGACGAAAAGTCAATACATGTATTAATTTTTCCATACAAATCCGTCTTGAAGTTTAAAATCATTTCCTTCTTCAGCAGCAAATGTAGCTGCAGAAAAGTATCTCTCCAAAAAAAAAAAAATGAAAGACCGGAGAGCTTCAGTACCACCAATGGAAAAACTGTATATTTATTGCGCACAAAAAGTTTCGCTCGGTTTTGGATTTATTTCTCCAAATTCTTACTTCAAATGCACAAATGCTCGATTTCAAAAAAGAAATCCTTGGACCTCTACCAACACAGGCACTTTACGTTACATATTTTTTCTTATTAAAAATATATATAACCCCATACCTAATAATTCACAGATACACATCGCCACAGTCTTGCATTTTTCTAAGTCAGTCACATCAACTTGCTTTTTCGTCTGAAACTCCGTAAATATTAATTCCCTGCAACCGTATTCACTTTGTGGTGAGTGCAACCATAGGGGCGCATTACATGTGCAAATAGTAAAAAAAAATCTCTCGTCAAACTCAATCTACTGCTTCAACAATCCGAGAAATTGCTAAAAGGGGGGTGGAAATTTACATCAATATTCTAATGGAAATTCCGTATTGGTCAGTTCTTGGGTGGATCTAAAGCAGCGTGCTGTAATAACTTAAAATTAAGCAAAGGTATTTCCATATAAAAATGAAAGAAATGGAAAATTGGGGAAATTAAAACATCTGTTGTAAATATATCTTTTAAAATATACAGGTCGTCTCGTTTGACAGTCTATTTGGGTTGGGGAGGGGGGGGGGAACGCATAAATTACGAAATAAGGTTAGCCCTTTCTAAGCATTAAACAGCAAGCTACCTGACTATATATTTATTTGAATAAAAAAATACGTTATGTCAAATGCCTGAGTGTGTCTATCAACTACTTTCTGATCCGCCCCACTCCTCACAAACTCTTGGCCTACCATAGACTGTACTTTCACTTGAAAGGTGTGATTGGACTCGGTTGCTACGGCTTGACCAATCCGCTATGGTTTGCAAGGCTTGAATTGAAAGTTATTGAGAACTATCTTTGTTCGGATGTTCTCCGAGTAGTTAGAGCTCGCATCCTTAAGACATAATTTTACAAGTAAATAGCGATGGTTTCATTATTTTTGAAATTTTGATTATGCTGATCTGGATTTAATGTAACTAGGTGTATAATTCGAGATATTTATCCCCGCACTCTTTTCAACAGCTCTGTGAATAATTCTTAAATAGTTCAAATTTAAAATTCTATTCATTTTTTCGTATGGTACAATATAGAAATATGAAAAAGTTTGAGAGCAGGACAGGCCATGGGTTTTTGATAGGGATGTCAATTTTGTCAATAATTCATATTCGAATATTCAATGAAAGTATTCGAATATATTCGAATATTCGATAAGATAAATAAAATTTGGTTTATTTCAAATGTACATCATTATACTCTCATGGCAGGTTTTGTGTCGGTATTTGGAAGTAAAATTGGATATTGACTTTTGTAAGTGTACAATAGGAATTCTACATTTTATATTTGTCAATGTTTAAAATAAATAATTGAATTAAGTGTATACAACCGAAATATAGATTAAACAAATGATATCTATACAAGCTCAAACTTTTAACGTTTAACCAGGGGCAAGATTGTCGTTTACTCTTCAGTTCCCGATAATGATTTTAAAATTTTAAAATTAATATTTAACCCAAGATAATCAAGTAATTGATGCATTATTCTGAAATTGAGCCCTTTACAATATTACAGGATGATTCTATCAAAGATGTAATTCAATGATCAATAAAATTTATTCATAAGTACATCCTTCACGTCTCTTAGACATTCAAGAAAGGTTTCATTTTGTTGTCCTCGATTCTAGATCCGATCATATTAAACTCCTGAAAATACTTTTTGTATTATACATTAATAGTTCTTGTTTATTTCTTTTATACCTTACTCAAAATGATAATAATTTGGAAGATCTATAAGAAAGTAGCGAAAGGAATCAGGGGATCGCTAGTAAATAAAACGGGGATAATTCCAGCACTGTTCTAATTGAAATGTATTACCTTTTTGTGAAATCTGAAAAACACCGAATATTCGAATCTCAATTTCATATTCGAATATTAACTCATCGAATGAATATTCGAATGTTCGAATATTCGTTGACATCACTAGTTTTTGCACAAAAAGCGGAGTTATTTCGCCTCTCCCGTCAAGTGGACTTCTGTATAAAAGTGTTGTAATGTAGAAAGTAATGTAAAAATGTCCACATACTGTATAGTTTAAATTGATACATCATTTTTAACATTTGGAATATTCAAAAGGTTACTAAGGCATGTACATACTTTATATATAAAGTGAATGAAATATGAAGATAACGAAAAGCATTCAAGCTCAAAGTCCATTAGACATACAGAAGCAGAACAAACATGGACCCCCCAAAACATTAGAGAAGGGATCAGGTGTCATGGAGGAGTGAGCATCCCCTACCGACCGAATGAAAATTGTATTTAATTTCTTAATCTTCCTATTTGTGTTTTGTAGATTTTAGACATGGAAACCGATGGGCTTACCTGGGATGAACAAGAATCTCATAAAGAGGAGACAGAAGACCGATCTACTGTACAATTTCTTTCTGTTTCAAACTCGTCAATTATTCAGTCAAAATGTAGTTTGACCGAAAACAACTCTGAAAATAATAGGGATGGCCAAGCAAGAACAAACACCCGGAAGCCACAGAATTACATGTGTTTAGCTTTGATCACTATCCTTTGCAACTGTCCTTTCGGTTGCGCAGCAACTGTTTTCTCTCTTCTGTCGTCGAAGAGTTTCATTGAAGGCAAGCAGAAAGAGGCTGTTCAGAGAGGAAACATTTCCAAGTGGATCTCGATTGTTGGGCTCGCTGTATCTGTTGTCGTGATTCTGTTCATTATTGTATATGTGGTCGCCATTGTCCCTAATGTGATCGACAATGCACACGATCTTCTGAACAATTGAAAAGACGGTCAGTAACATTGCCAATCAAAGATAGAGAAAAATAACAATCAACGGTGGATAAATTAGGACCATGAGATGTTTCAATTTCTATGCCACAAGACTATCATCTGGTCTGGGTATTGTAATAAATACTCAAGGAAAAGCTGTATAAATAGATCAATTTGTCATTCTGCTATTAATTTAGAGTAAGCAAAAAAAAAAAAAAAAAAAAAATTGAAATATATATCATACTATACATGTACGTCCACATCATCATGCAATAGCATGTGAAACAGAAAAGTAAATTAAATAATCATCAAGACGATACATTTTTTTTATTTGAATTTAAAAATATTTCAATCTTTCAGATTGATTATTAGTAACTAATTATACGAGTAAATAAGCATTTTGTAGTTAAATGATAGCAAGTAATGAGAATCTTTCAACGACATTATGAAGCATAACAATGAGCAGAATTGAGATCACATAAAATCAAAATTTAAATGAAATACAGATACCAAATATAATAATGAATTACTAGAACCCAATGCCCCCCTGCTTTTAAAAAAATAATGAAATACTGAGAAATAAAACAACAAAAACATCTAAAGTAAAACGAAATAAAATGTCAAGGATTTAACCATTTTCCTTTCAACAGAAATATCAAATTACTAGAACCCAATGCACTCTGCTAAAAAAAATAATGTAATGAAATACTGAGAAATAAAACAACAAAAACATCTTAAGTAAAACGAAATAAAATTTCGAATGATTTAACCAAATTCCTTTCAACGGATGAACACTTTCGATGCATATATTTCGTGTGCGAAAATAAATATTGTCAGTAGAATGAAATTTATCATCAGGTATGTGTATTATCCTACGACAAACATTGTGTGAATAAGCACAACACATGCACAAAATCCCATAAGGAAGACAGGGACGCAGGACATCGCCACAGACAACATAAACCAATCTGAAAAAGGGGAAAATAAAAATCATTAAGTATCATAATGGCATGTCAAGCGTTGCACTAACTTAACTATCTTAACTATGGCATGTAAAGCGTAGTACCATTCGATCTATCTTAACTATGGCATGTAAAGCGTTGCACCATTCGATCTATCTTAACTATGGCATGTAAAGCGTTGCAATATTTGATCTACTCCATTTGTATTCTTTAAATTTCATTTGTATTGTATATTTCTTATATTGTATAACTTAATTTATTTCGTTATTTAAATTGCATAATATATTTTTTTTTCAATTTCTTAAACCGTTCACGGTAGCTCATGATCAGTCAGTAGAGCGCTCGCTCCGTGATCGGGAGGTCGTGAGTTCGAATCTCAGCCGCGACTGACCTAAGTCGATAAAAAATGGGTAGCAACTGTTCTTTCGCCATGCGCTCGCCATGCCCTCAGCACTTTGAAGTGAAAGTTGCGGGTCCTTCGGATGAGACCTTGAAAACCGAGGCCCCGTGTCACGGCAGATGTTGGCACGATAAAGAACCCTCACTGCTCAATGGCCCTGAGTGCCGAGTAAAGGTCAAAATTTGAAGCCCTTCACCGGTATATGTATGAGTGAAAAATTCTCGAATGGGACGTAAAAAAACATACAATCAATCAATCAATTTCTTAATATGCTCAATTAATTCGTATATTTGATAACAAAAAATTTGTATTCTGTAAAGGTAATGTATAAAAACCTGCTCTTAGGAATTTTTTTCTTAGCTTAAGCTAAGGCAGTGAAGTCATGATGCTACGTAAAATTATTAAACTAAAATATTTTTATCAAAGGTATGTATTTCACATTTGGAAATTACAGATAGAAAAAAAGATCTTGAACATGTAGGAAAATATTCGACATTACACTTACTTGGTGGTTCGTATCCAGCTGCTTTCGCTGGTTTCTTCACATTGACTAGTAATATTCCTGTAGTTTTATCTGCACTGTCGTCACAACAGAGTTTCACCATGTAAGAGTTAATGTCTTTGTAAGAAAAGGCGGGATTTGAAGTGGTCAAAATGGAAAATATACCACGTGATGAACCAGCAGTTGAGTTTCCAGTTACGTTAAAATTTGTAGAACTGGGTAATACAGTCTCTAACAAGCAACAAACTTCATCACCTGAAGGATCTTCCACAACTGTGGAGTATAAAACCGTTTCTCCGCCCGTCTCCTCGGCAACAGACATGGAATTTGGCAGATCTAGTATTTCTGGTGGCTGAAACCAACGTAAGATAAAATAGTACAGAGCATATTTATCCCCCTTGATTACAAATGAATGAAGACTTCACTTTGATCCATGTATGCATCATGTTCTGGAAATCATTTAAATCTACCGATTATCAATTGTAATAACATATTCTTTTATGAAACATTAATGCCCCCCCCCCTTACATATGACAAAACTGTAATTGTGGCAAAGACTAGAGTATTAAGATGCAAAATAACCCATTTATTTCGCATAAAATTAAAACACAGTTGAAAATAAGACAGCTTGTAACAATTAAAAACCTTCTTCAAATAGAATAACGTTACTTCGTAATAAACTACTTACGCCAAATAAATAGTTTCCCATGCTGTATATACGAGGGATGCCCCAGATTCAATATTTTTTGTTTCACTAATATTATAAAGTTAAAAATAAGAATGTACCATAATCAACATTTTTATGCCCCCGTATCAAAGATTTCGGGGGTATATAGTTTTGTGCCCTGTCCGTCCGTCTGTCTGTCTGTCTGTTTGTCTGCCAAAACTTTAACCTTGCCCATAACTTTTGATTGGTTGGTGCTATGGCTTTCATATTTCACATGTGTATTCCTTGTGACAGGACCTTTCTTTGGGTACCACCATATTTGACCTTTTGATCTTGAACCAGTTTTGCAAAATTTTGCCAAACTTTAGCCTTGGCCATAACTTTTGAACAGTTGATGCTAGGGCTTTCATACTTCACATGTGTAATTCTTGTGACAAGACCTTTCTTTGGATACCAAGTACTTTGACCTTTAGACCTTGACCTAGGAGTTTGACCTACTTTTGTAAAACTTTAACCTTGGCCATACGTTTTGAACGGTTGGTGCTAAGGCTTTCATACTTCACATGTGTAATCCTTGTGACAAGACCTTTCTTTGTATACCAACAACTTTGACCTTTAGACCTTGACCTTGGAGTTTGACCTACTTTTGTAAAACTTTAACCTTGGCCATAACTTTCGAACAATTAGTGCTAGGGCTTTCATATTTCACATGTGTAATCCTTGTGACAAAACTTTTGTTGAATACCAACAACTTTGACCCTTTTGACCTTGGAGTTTGACCTACTTTTGGAAAACTTTAACCTTGGTCATAATTTTTGAACGATCGGTGCTTCGGCTTTCATATTTCACCTGTGTATTTCTTGGGAGAAGGCCTTTCCTTGGGCACCATTAATTTTGACTTTGACCTTGATGTTTGACTACTTTTGAAAAAAACTTTAACCTTTTCCATATCTATTCAATGTTTGCTGCTAGGGCTTTCACATTTCACAGGTTTATTCCTCGAGACAAGACCTTACTTTGGGTACCAACATATTTGATTTGCATTTGAGAAAGTTTAACCTTTGCTAAAAAGTTGCCATACGGGGGCATCAGTGTTTCACAAACACATCTTGTTTTTTTACTTAATTCGCAGAAAGAGCTAAATCCACGAAGGGGCTAAATCGGCCCAGTCATCAAAATAAATGAAACTTTCTCAAATAAAACTCTAAGATTTGTATGCTGTAAAACAATTTATTTTTTAACAATATCTTTTCTGGTTTTCTTTTTACATTCGTTTAACTTTGGTATTGTTTTCCTTATTAATACTATCACGTCATTACGTTGACGATACATACTTTAACGTCGTGACGTTGACATTCTGTATAAGACAGTAACATATGTACGTTAATGGAATAAAAATAACCAATATAGGCTCTTCTTTAATATTTTGTAAAATTTTACTATGAATTTTTCAAAAAGTTCTGAAAAGTTTTGGTTTATTTTTTAATTAAAGCTATTTGTACTCTAAAGAAATGCCAAATATTTGTTTTATACAAGTTGACTGTTGTCTGGTATAATCGTTGATACATGTAACACGTTTTAGATAAAAATAAGAGAAACGTTAAGTTTAAAACAAACACAAAATGTTAATCCGTCATATTTGAGTAAAACTAAATTAATGTAGTAAAATATATACTATAGTAGCCATGGATAAGGATTTTATCATTCTTAAATGTGTTATTGTATGGTCATACGGTGTACAAACAAAAAATATACGGTTTTTTTTTTTCAGAAAACACACGAGTACTCTTTAATAACGAAAACATAAAATTAAAATGAAAAGTTGCATTAAAAATGAATACGTTTGAAGTTACCATCTATTTTATTGTCTTTTTGAAAATTTCGTTGCACTTCCGAAAATTATGGCATTTCCCGGACATTTGAAATGAAATTGTAGTTCATACATGTAATACACGTAAAATAGTGACGTTTTACGACAATCCTGCGCACCACAGATTGTCAGGAAAGAAGCCACTACAGACTTTTAAACATGAGTGATGCAAAGTATCAAATCGGCCGCAAAAAAATTATTTTCCAACCAAAACACAAGATTTCCAAAGTATTTGAATTTCAAAACGAATCCTGAAGTTAAAAAAAAAAACAAAAAGATAAACGGAAATGGCACATATACCACTTTACACAATGTAAATCACTTAATCGAAATAAGGTTCACTAATTATGATAACTATGTTATATCATCAAAGAGAAACTTTTTTTATATACCCACAATAGATGTGAAAAGAGATTTCAGATGATAAAAACGATCAAATGAATTATTGATAACTAATCGTTTTGTTATCATATTATCATATCTTACACACTCCCATGTTGTGGAGTACGTATTATAAACCCTTTTAATAAAATCATAAAGTAATGATTATCTGGTGAGAAGTGAAAATTACATTGAAACATACCAACATCTAGGACTTTCATATAGTTCAAAACCAGTTTTAACATTTTACTCATAATTTTCATATATTTAAAATAACGTTCCGTTTCTCCATGTACAATTTCTAACACAACTACAAATAGATAGGCGATAATGAGTACAGAAGACGATAAAATAATCATAATATATATACATATTTAACTTGGACGTTTTCGGATCGTTCTATTTGTAATTAAACAAAAATATACGAAAAACAGCTACTGGCAGTAGTAAATGGCTATCATTACAGACCGTCGAAAAAAAAATTATAGACCACATGTCGAACGACATATTACCACCCCCATACCCCCCCCCCCCCCCCCAATACCATGTTCAAATGCCCGATCTATGAAGGTATATTCTATATAGACGTCCTTTCAAAAAAACACATATGATAGACAAGCAAAATTACCGGTAGCAGTTATATCCGTTAATAATAACAATAATACATTAAGGATACATGGCCGTAGGAACCGGGGGGGGGGGCCATGCCCCCCCCCCCCCCAATAATTTTGCCGATATATAGAATACTATATAAAACAAAGCTACTATATGCTTGTGTCCCGTCAATAAAAACGTCTGATGCCCCCCCCCCTTTTTTTGGCTTGTCAAGGAATTTTGGTATTTGATAGTGTCCCCAACTGAAAATGTATGGATGTGCCTCCCCCTCCCCCCTAACTGAAATTGCTACCTACGGGCCTGGGATCTATAATAAATTTATGCAATGACTGAGTCACGAAAAATCAATCGTTTTTTAAATAAATTTTTATCAAGGAGATTGAAAAAAAAATAAAAACTGCTATTGAATTTATTTTTTATACTATATATATACTATATATATATATACGTTCAAGGACTAATATAATTGGCATTGTTATTTATTCACTTTACTACTTTCTTGTTAAAATAGCAGCAGTAATTGGTCGAACTGTTCCACGTATTTAATGAGTGAGGGTGAGAATCCCGAAACCCCCTCCCCCAATAACCCCTGTCTTTTCTTTTCTTTATTTTTTGTAAATGTAACAGTTTTCTTTTCTTTTTCTTTTTTTATTTTTTTGCTTCTTATTTTATATCAATGTTCGAATCCCCCCTTTATGAATTTACACTACTACATGTATAAACATGCTTACTAATCTTGGTTGCCCTCTCTCCCTTGGGCCTGTTACATTTAAGCGGAGTAACTCAAAATAGAAAGAGATAGCAAGTAGCCTCCCTTTGACATTTTTTCATGTGTTGGCTAGGTCACAGCATGCATGCGATACTGAAATTACTTAAAACCTAAAAGACTTGTCACTGCCTTGGTAGTAAGTTATTCGTTTATACAATGTAGGACATTTTTCTTATAGAGGCCTATCACAAAAATTACACGCGATCTGTAAAATCAATCTATTGTTTATTTGATTTGTCAACTCGAATTTTCTAGGTTCAGTACTTCGTAACATAATTTATGTTAAGAGGTCTCGGATCAGTAAAGGTTTTCACTAATAAATATTAATTAATCTTTTGTCTTAAAATGCCACTGGCAATTTCTGAAACGCATGTTGGGTATCATGGGTATGGTTTATAATTATAATACATGTACATGTAGTTATGATAGACTCTACTGCGTAACATTAACCATTTGTACATGCTGTCGATACAGACTTCACGACATTTATGTTTTGTAAGGTGGCAAAACAATCAAATACGTCTTGGTAGTTGCATCCGATGTAATTTGTTTAATATTCTAGGCTATTCCGACACGGCCACTCAGGAGAAAATAAAGATGTAGCCTACATGTTTCTCGGGTGATCTCCCTTTGATTACATAGTGACCATGGTGACGAGGAGCCGGGAGTTGGAAAACAAATTCAAAGCATAAATAAATAGGCAGAGGAAAAGAGTACACATTATTATTTTTTTTTTAACATTTCAGTATAATGATGAGTAAAATATAGATCAGCCACTCGAAGGAAAAGTCTTGGGTCAGGACTGAGGCACGTAGGCCTAGTACACAAAATGTCGACATTATTGCATCTATGCAGTCATGCCTAGCGAGAGTTTTTCGAACTTTTTTGCACCACAACACAAAATAACTTATAATAAATATAACAATCGCATTTCAAAACTTTTTGATATTTACAAAAACAATATAGAATAATTTTCTTTTCTATTAATGTAGGGTAATCCCCGTTATTTTCACTGTGTGAATCGAACGAAAAGCATTAATTTCGATGTGGCCACACCCCTCGAACAAAATAAAAATATACTTTATTTATTCATATTTTAATCCTCTTTTCAATGTTATAAATTTTATTTTGTTCGAAGGTTGTGGCCACAGCAAAAATTTGAACCAAAGACGAAAAAAATGCTTTATTTTGATAAAAACAAGCAAAGTGCACGTGTTTAGACGTTTTCTGTACAAATATGACGTCATCAAATAAAAAAAATTGGCATATACTATTTAAGTTTTGATACCCAAGGATAATATTTCTATCGTTAATTTTTTTTTTCTTCCTCTAAGTTTAATTTTCTTGAAAAAATAGGCCGATTTAGCCCCTTCGTGGATTTAGCTCTTTCAATAAAATATCTCTATGAATAACATTTTTATCCTTGATCAACGAATCATTCAACATAACTGTCGGCGCAACACCGACTATGTCAAAACGTACATGTAGCTCGTGAAATTTTTGAATTTGTTCAGGAAACGTGCATCTTTAAAAATTTATTCGAAGCTTAAATTTGTTACTGCATTTGATTTTCTTTTAGATATCAAGTTATCCATTTCACACATGCGACAGTTAAGACTAAATCAAGGAATTAAATTCTTTTAATAGACAATATCTCAGTCATAAATCTAACTGCTCGCACAGTTAACGGCGATCTCCACTTATATGACGTCCAGTTCTAGACTGTTGTAGGTCTACTAAACGCTTCTTCCATAGGATAAGTAGTCCATCTTTGAACCTCTTTTACCATGTATAAACCTGTCACCGATACATGTGTTTGTGTCGTTCCATGGTTCCCAGCTCTTCCCGTATGAACAGGGGCCATATCCCGCTCCACACAGTACTGAGTGATAATTTGGTGCGCCGCATTATCGCCCGACGTCGCCATTTTTGACAATATCTAACTAATAGTGTTTGTGCATATAACGTCACATTTTTCTTATTTATAATGTCAGAGTATTGATTTTTTTTTACATACGAGTACTCTAGATCATTCAGTTTCTATGGATGTAATTTTGGTCACATTATATTTCCATATAGCCGGATAATAAAAGAAAACATCACTGTCAGAGCATTTTTAGAAAGTCAAGAAATTGCCATGCACCGACCATCGATATTAAACAACCTATAAATACTATTTCTAAATGCATATAACATTACAACCTTATATTATTTAGCTAAAATGATGAAAATATCATTTCCCAACATTGTGCCAAAAATATTGGTCAGGTAGTTTATGAAATTCTTTAAAAAAAAATCGCGTTTTTCTGGGACAACCCTCGTACTTGACATAAAGAGAGTTTTGGCGAAGAAGCGAGACTAAACACAACATACTACTTGTCTCTGATCGAAGCACATACTGTAAAACAACTATTCTTCGCGTCAACTTTTATTCATGATTCGTCAGTTTGATATCAATCCGCGACGATTAATTTTTGCGACTACAAATACAAAGCAAAATAAATGGTTCGCGAATATTTCTTGCACGGGAATAAAAGTTGGTTTACAGTACTCATGTGAGCATTGTGCCATAGGAGTCTAGATGGAACTTGTAACCCAATTGTGTAATTTTGATTTATAATTAAAGATTGTTTTGTACATCATGAAACATAATGGAACTACTTTAATTTTCATAAAGGAGAAATAAAAATCATTTCTTATACGTACTTTTTTCAATAATTAGGAAACTCTTTCGACTGAACAATAAGGTTCTACAATGTCCTTTTAAGAGAGGGTAACATTAATTTTAGAAGAATCATGTTAAAGAAAATAAAGACAGAATTACCATATTTTGTGATTCTATGGAAAGGGTCACTGTGGCGCTAGTATTACACGCATCCTTTGCTTCTACCAGTAATAGATAGTCCTTGACAATGGTAGCTCTGTGCATCTTTTTGGCTACCGTTACTTGTGCTGAAATAAAAAAAATAGTCTTACTATTTGCCTGTTTTCTCTTTCCATTTTTTTCAATGCTTTTTGCAAATTCATTGTATATCTCTGCAGCCAAAAATGACAATTTACATTACTCTATCGAAAACAGCGACTCCATCAAGTACATTAAGGTCAAATGAAAAAAAGGCCGTAGGATCATCTGTTTAACTGATTAATGTTTAGAACAAAAGAATGTTTAATATTAGAGACATTTTAACTGATAGTGAAATTATCATTCTATATGAAGAAACATTCATTGTATTTTCTTAGCAGGACCTTTTCAATGTTTTACATTCAAAAAGTACATTTGACACGAATACTTTTTCAAATTACAAAAAATTGCATGAATTTTTCAAACCTGCCACTTTAAAAAACCCAAGTATCTCATCTGGTATATTCATCAAAGCTTATGAAACAACTGGAACTGACATTTCTACAAATTTTCCTCTTACATGTATATAGGATTATGTCATGCAGTATGATATTGAAGTAATGGTACCTATTTCATCTACAACGAAATATGCGGCAGAGGAAGGAGAAGAAGGATGTTGCATGACGGTGTATGTTACGTTTTCAGCGTAATCTGCCCCTCCCACTTCCAACATCATCACAAAGGAACCCGGGGGTAAGTGGTCCGGTATTTCTGCCGATTGATTTGTGTTGGTAAAGGATATGATTGTATCTGGAAAAAATTTTTAAAAAATGTTACAAAAGGAAGAGTTAAATTTTTTTATGGAAACAAAAAGGGAGAACATTGAACTTAACCATTTTTACTACTACATAGTCGTCGCCCGGGTGGCGCCTTGGTTAGAGCGTTTCCTCTTAAGTCGCGGAGTAAGGAGTTGATCGTTACGTTGCGGGTTCTAATCCAACTGCGGGACGTGGAAACCGGTCCTTCGGCTGAGACCGTATAAACCGAGGTCCCGTGTCGCAGTAGGTGATGGCACGTTAAAGATCCCTCACTGCTAAAAGGCCGTAAGTGCCAAGTACAGGACTGAATGTGCAGCCCTCCACCGGTAGGTGGTGGCGTCTAAATATGAGTGAAGAAATGGAACTAATTGCAACAGTTTTGAAATTTAGTTTTTTTATCAGTCTATTAGATTATCTCCATTAGATCAGCATTTTTTTTATTTTTAGATTTACAAACCCACCGCTCAAGTTTTTGAATTTTCAGGAAAAAAATAGAATTGAGAAAAATGGTATTTTTCTCTCCGATGTCGAATTTAAGTCGAGATCGAGATTTTGAATTTACGAGGTCGTACTTCCGGTTTACGATAACCATGGAAACATGACGGGTAAATGAAGGTAGATCTGCATAGGCCATAGCAGCATAATAGCCTTGGTTTAGTGAGAAATTTATCCATGGGCGTAACATTCAAAATGTTTTCACCTGTTCAGAGGACAATTAAAATGCAGCTGACGACTTTGTTGCACAATGGCATGGTAGTGAGATAATTTTGTATCCATATTCAAAAGTATCTACATGTAAACGAGTTCAACAGTTCAAAACAGTTCAAAAACTGCCCATGGTAGCTATAGTCAGAGACATTGTTTAGGTCTCTGCTATAGCTTACAGTCGAACCAACATTCTTTAGAAAAGAATTGCTTATGCATCGGATGTAATGAATAACACCAGGCTTGGGGCGAATTACATTGTAAAGTAATGCATTACATTACCATTACTTCAAGAAATTGGGCATTAAATTACCATTACCATTACTTTAATTTGTTAAAGTAATGCATTACATTACCATTACTTTAGTAAAGTAATGCATTACCATTACCATTACTTTTGGGGTTTTTCAAAAAATAGAAATACAAAACATGTGCAACTATTTTTAACTTGATGAATGTTAATTCAAATTTGATTTCAAGTACCTATTTTTATTACACTGTAAATAACTTACATATTTTTTTTATTCATAAGAAGTTCAAATTTTTCAATTGCCAATAAGAAAAAAAAAAACGTACAATATTCACATTTGTGTAACTATATTGATGTCATAAAGCAATTTAATTTTTGGGGAACTTAAACCCCTAGCTTCCCAAAACTATCTAAATTAATAAGAAATAGATTGTTTGGATCTGGTACCTCATGAAAAAATATTAATGCATAGACAGACTTGTAAAAAACGTTGGACAGTGTGTACAATTTACTCTGCTAAAAGTAGAATGCCTGACTTCTATTCCTTTTGGTGCAATGGAATTGTCATGGTAAGCTCAAGCTAGACCAGCTCAATTAATTTTTCATAAACACAGCCAGGGGAAAGAGACTGGTTTTTGGGCACTTCTCTAAACAATATTTTGTTTTAATTGTTACCTAACCCTAGTGGGCATTTTGTTTTGATGACACTCTATAGAAAAGGTCGCAATTATCAGTTTACAGAGTACATTGTACCTCATATCAGAATCATTTTTTAAAGGAATTTTTTGCTAAACTCTTTTAAATATTCTTTGAAATTAAATATTATCTGTAATAAATATGAAAATTAAATGTATGGTAATTGTACTTTCAACTGAATATAAAGTGTATTTAAATAGATACAGAGACTTTATTTAAATAGGTTAACTTTTTTTCATTCATTTCTATCATTTGAAAAAAACAACAGTTGCCATGTCCATTCTTATTTTTTTAAAATAGGTACAGGGTGTCCCAGAATATAAGATACTATTTCAAGAATCTGCAAAACCTAATGTAATGAATATTGGATTGCAAAAAATGCATTTTAAACATTGCATATACTGTCCAATTTTATTCACCTAATTTGACAGTCATTAAAACGAAAACAACAAAATGAGTTCACTTTGAAAAATGCTATGGTTTTTAAATGATGCCCTCTAAATGACGTTCTATCTGTGTAATGATAATGTCTAGACATATCTCAAAGTTCCTTAACTTGAGACAACAGTGCCTGTCTCGGTAGTAACTTCAAGATTTTCAACAGAGGTGAACCTTTCATGTGTGTTTTTTAAGGATTCTGGTTTGGGTTTAGCAGCAGGAACCTAAGACTAAAATTGATAATTACAGTTTCAAAATGAGGGTATCTAGCTCTTTTGATGACCCATTTTGATTGAAATTGTAGGTTTTTTTTGTTTTTGTTTTTTTTTTTTGTTTTTGTTTTTTTTTTTTGCAAAAATTGATGTAAATTTGATAAATTGAAATTTCGTAAGTGTGAGAATTTTTTTTTTTTTTTTTTTTTTTTGGAATATTTTGTTGCTAAAAAATTGTACTTATTCATATATTTTAAGAGACATATATCAAAGAAATTAGCCAATGGATGTGTTTGTCGCAGGTATTTCAAATGGTATCACATATTTTGGGACACCCTGTATATACAAAATAATGTTTTGTAATGCTATGTAATGCGAGCATTTCTCTGGATTTGAGAAAGTAATGCATCACATTACCATTACATGTAATGCAAATTTTTTGGCATTACACATTACTAGCATTACTTCGAGTTCAAGTAATGCATTGCAGTGCATTACCATTACATTTAGAATTACCCCAAGCCTAAATAACACTATGGAAGAAATGAAGTCCAATTTTGGAAGAAATAATCAATAGCCTTAAAAAATTAAATGATTCAACTATTAAAGAAAAGAATTATATATACAAATGTATACAGGCACATAGTATTGTTTATGAACGTGGCAGCCAGAAAATATATATAACACTTAGTTGAAATTTTTTTGACTTCCTCCCAAATACTCTCTGTGTGTTTTAGGATAGGAATATTAAATTGAGCTCTCAAGCATATTTTTAGAACAATTTCTACACATTCACTTAGCATTTTAAAAAATGAAGATATATTGAATAGTGAAGAAATTTGATTTTTTTATTAATTTTAGTATTTTGACCAGCATCTCAAAATTTATATCACTGGTCCCAACTGGCAGACAATGAAATTAACAATTTAAGGTTCTTCTATTTGTCCTATTTTTAACCATCGTGTGGCCAGTGGCATGGAACCTGTTATGAGAGCACCAAAGAAAAAAAAGAAGAAGCACATATGAATGTACAGAAGTCGATAATTTATCTAAAAAAAATTTTTTTTCCTCCTCCTACGGAACTTTATAATTCTGGTGTTCGTAAACCTAAAAAAAAAAATGCTGGCCTTAACAGTTAAAAGTGCATCAGTAGCATTTAAGTCATAAACTGATTTAATGAGATCTTTGAGTTCAATAGACCATTTGTCATTTCATTCATTGCACGTTTGAATGATGCTAGCCTTAAAAAACCAGTCTGAGTGATTAAACACAATAAATGTCAACTGCATGTTTCTTATCCCTCTTTGTCATCTTCCCACAGAATAAGCAATGTATAGCAAAATTGAATTGATTTTCTGAATGAAGAGTTGGTTTGTATTCACCAGAATTGCTTTCATTTGTTTCTGAAACTGCTATATAAATATGGAAGGATTATACGTACTTCAGACGATATTTATGAATAAAGTTTCCAGCCTTTCTAGCACCCCCTCCCCCCGCTTTATTGGCTTTATTGCTCTAAATATATTTTTTAAAAAACTTTCAATATTACATAACACTGAAACATATCTCGTTCACATTTTGCAACAAGAGGCCCATGGGCCACATCGCTCACCTGAGCACATTGGCTAGGCAAAAGCACAAATCAGTTCAGTATTGAAAAGATTACTTGGGGGGGGGGGGGGCTTGAATTTTAAACTACCTGATGATGCTTCCATGTCAATGTAACAAATGGCTTTGTTGTACTTGAGAAGATAACCCCCTAGGGGTTATCATTTGAACAAAATTGAATTTACACTATCTGAGGATGCTTCCATATCTAAACATGATTTTCAGTTCTTGAGAAGAAGATATTTTCCTATATGTTCCCAAGTAAAATTTTTGATCCCCCATTGTGGCCCCACCCTATCCCCGGGGGTCATCATTTGAACAAACATGAATCTACACTACCTGATGATGCTTCCATATCAAATCAATATGACTAATCATGGCTTTGCAGTTCTTCAGAAGAGGATATTTTCCTATATATTTCTATTTAAAACTTTGATCCTCCATTGTGGCCCTGCCCTACCCCCAGGGTCACGGTTTGAACAAACTTGAATCTACACTATCTGAGGATGCTTCCATATAAATATGACTCATCATGGCTTTGCTGTTCTTGAGAAGAAGAATTTTAAAGATTTTTCCTATATATTTCTATGTAAAACTTTGATCCTCCATTGTGGCCCCGTCCCTTCCCCCAGGGGTCATGATTTGAACAAACTTGAATCTACACTATCTGAGGATGCTTCCATATAAATATGACTCATCATTGCTTTGCTGTTCTTGAGAAGATTTTTAAAGATTTTGCCTATATATTTATATGTAATACTTTGATTCTCCATTGTGGCCCCACCCTACCACCAGAGGTAATGATTATAACAAACTTGAATCTATCACTATCTGAGGATGCTTCCATATAAATATGACTCATCATGGCTTTGCTGTTCTTTAGAAGAAGATTTTTAAAGGTTTTTTCCTATATTTCTATGTAAAACTTTGATCCTCCATTGTGGCCCCGCCCTACCCCCGGGGGTCATGATTTGAACAAACTTGAATCTACACTACCTGAGGATGCTTCCATATAAATACGACTCATAATGGCTTTTCTGTTCTTGAGAAGAAGATTTTTAAAGGTTTTCCTATATATTTATATGTAAAACTTTGATCCTCCATTGTGGCCCCGCCCCACCCCCGGGGGTCATGATTTGAACAAACTTGAATCTACACTACCTGAGGATGCTTCCACATGAGTTTCATCTTTCCTGGCCCTGTGGTTCTTGAGAAGAAGATTTTAAAAAGATGTTATTAATTTTTCACTAATTCTTAATTATCTCCCCTTGAAAGAGGGCCTGGGCCTTCATTTGAACAAATGTGAATCCCCTTCACCCAAGGATGCTTTGTGGCAAGTTTGGTTGAAATTGGCCCAGTGGTTCTGGAGAAGAAGTCAAAAATGTGAAAAGTTTACAGACAGACGGACGGACAGACGGACTACAGACAAAATGTGATCAGAAAAGCTCACTTGAGCTTTCAGCTCAGGTGAGCTAAAAACTTAGAAAATATGAAGTTCCAAGAAAAAAAAATAACTCACCTTGATTAAATGAATACTTAGCAGATAAATAGTGGATTAAACTTTCTTTATTAAATTTAGCACTGTTCCGACTTTGTTTTGGTAATGCAACCTACATACGACGTCATGTTAATACTGAATAGGTATCTGCGCTCGCCCTAACGGTCGCATCGTCAACATATTATATTTTTCTGTAGAACTTGAGGATGATTAGCAGTAGTACATTAATTAACCAATTATTCTGATACAAAATATCATGCATAACAGTTTTGTTCCCTGAAATATGAAAGTAAATTCAAACATGGCATTTATTTATTGGTATGGTATCGTATGGTATTTTGAAAATAATAACCAAACTAAGAAAGAAAGAAGCTAATGCATTCAGGATATTCTTACTGTCTTCAAGGCAAGCTTTAATAGCATAGGCTGTTGTATTTATTATGGTGCCTGACGTTTTCCAATCAAACTCGTCTCCTCTCTGTAAAGTTTGGGCCGAGTATGCCTGGTAACCAATGGCACACTCATCTAAGCAGTCTCCGTTTGTGATTATATTACCACCATCATTATCAGCCAGGGAACGCCTTTTAAAAAGATGCCAAATTACATAGTAATAAGAAGATGAAACAAGAGGCCCAAGGGCCTTAACGGTCACCTGAGTATCATACAACAATTTAGAGAATCCATAGAGTATAAAATGAACTAAAAGGTGAACCTTTGTTGCCCAAAAGCAAGAAAAATAGGGTGATCAGGATCAACAAAATAATTAGTCTAGTATTCATTAACAGTTCATAAATTAGGTTCTAATCTCTTCCCCATTTATCACTCTCACCATTAGTATATTAACAAACTACGTGTATCAGTGCTTCTGTAATATTTTAATTCCTTGTTGAAATTTCTTACATTGGCCTCTCTTGGTCTTTGATGAACATTTCATAAGACAAGTTATTTTTGTCTGATTTTTATTTATCTACTACTTACAAGTCTACCTGATCATTAAAACTAAGAAAGTACTTTTTGTATTATACAATAACAATTCTTGCATAATTCTCCTATTCTATTAACCTTTCAAGTACTTTATTTACAGTGATTAATTATCAAAAGTAAATGGCAAAGGGGAATAACTCCTCTCAGTAGAATACAAATTAATAGAGCCCTGCCCAGGACCAGAACACTTGAACAAATGGTCCAGATGTTCAAAAATCTGGTAAAAATACCCTTCCTTATTAAAACTTTTACTCTTTTTGCCTCTGATATGCCCAGGTGCAGAGAAGATTTTTAAAGAAATAAATAAATGCATTTTTACTACAGATTCACTATACTCACTATATTATCAATAGAGCTCCCCCCCTCCCCACCGAGAAACACCAGAGCCTCTCACCCTGGGACCAGAAGTTTGCTCATCATAAGTAATCACTTTGTTTGTCTGCTTAACACTAAGAGCAGACAGGATTATTTAATAGAATTAATGCATTTTCACTATATTATCAAGAGCCCCACCCTTACACCAGCACATCTGACCCAGGGGGTCATGAAATTCACTACTCTGGAAGAAGCACTCTTGCTCATCATAACTATACACTTAGCTTCTTTGCTTTTTAACCAGAATATTTTCAAAGAAATTTTGCTTTTTCGCTATATAATCAATAGAGCCCCCCCCCCCCTTTCAGCAGAACCCTTGATCCTGGGAGCCTGAAATTCACAATTTTGGAAGAGGCATCCTTGCATATCATAACAATGTATTTAGTTTATTTAAATAATACCCAGGGGCAGAGAAGAAGATTCTCAAAGAAATAATCCACCTTCACTATAGGATCTATATAGCCCCACCCTAGCACCAGAACCCCTGTCCCTGGGTCCATGAATTTAACAATTTTGGAAGAGGCATCCTTGCTTATCATAACAATGTATTCAATTTGTTTAAATAATAACCAGGAGTAGAGAAGAAGATTTTCAAAGAAATTTTGCTTTTTCATTATATAAGCAATAGAGCCTCCCCCCCCCCCCCCTTTTCATCAGAACCCTTGACCCTGGGGCCATGAATTTCACAAATTTGGTAGAGTCAGCCTATCATAACTATGTATTTAACTTGTTTAAATAATACCCAGGAGTAGAGAAGAAGATTTTCAAGGAAATTTTGCTTTCTCAATATATAATTAGTAGCCCCCCCCCCCTTTTCACCAGAACCCTTGATCCTGGGGCCATGAAATTCATAATTTTGGAAGAGGCATCCTTGCGTATCATAACTAATGTATTTAATTTGTTTAAATAATACCCAGGGGCAGAGAAGAGGATTTTCAAAGAAATAATGCACTTTCACAATATGATCTACATGTATATAGTCCTGCCCTAGCACCAGAACCCCTTACCCTGAGGCAATGAATTTCACAATTTTGGTACAGTCACTCTTGCTAATCATAACTATGTATTCAATTTGTTTAAATAATAACCAGGAGTAGAGAAGAAGATTTTCAAAGAAATTTTGCTTTCTCACCATATAATCAATAGAGCCCCCCCCCCCCCCACCTTTTCATCAGAACTCTTGACCCCGGGGCCTTGAATTTCACAATTCTGGTAGATTCACCCTTGCTTATCATAACTATGTGTTCAATTTGTTTCAATAATACCCAGGAGTAGAGAAGAAGATTTTCAAAGAAATAATGCACTTTCACTATATGATCTATATAGCCCTGCCCTAGCACCAGAACCCCTGACCCTGGGACCATGAATTTCACAATTTTGGTAGAGTCATCCTTGCTTATCATAACTATGTATTCAATATGTTTCAATAATACCCAAGAGTAGAGAAGAAGATTTTCAAAGAAATAATGCACTTTCACTATATGATCTATATAGCCCCGCCCTAGCACCAGAACCCCTGACCCTGGGACCATGAATTTCACAATTTTGGTAGAGTCACCCTTGCTTATCATAACTATGTATTCAATTTGTTTCAATAAACCCAGGAGTAGAGAAGAAGATTTTCAAAGAAATAATGTACTTTCACTATATGATCTATATAGCCCCGCCCTAGCACCAGAACCCCTGACCCTGGGGCCATGAATTTCACAATTTTGGTAGAGGGCTCAATGCTTATTACAATCATGCCAACAGTTTGACCCCTTGTTGTCCAGGAGTAAAGAAGAAGATTTTTAAAGATTGCATTAATTTTGGTGGTTTTAGCCCCACATCTCAGGCCCCAGGGGGGCAGGGACCGTGAAATTCACAAATTTTGTTCCCCTTCACACATAGATGCTATATGCCAAAATTGGCTGAAATTGGTTCAGCGGTTTCAGAGAAGAAGCTGAAAATGTTCAAATGTTAACACACGACGCACAACGCACGACGGACGACGACGGACGAAAACGGATAGCAATAGGTCACCTGAGTGACTCAGGTGACCTAAAAAAACTTAAAAAGTGACATCTGACTTAACCTAGGCGATGTTGAAGCTGCATACGCAAAACTAATACGTAAATCAGATAGATCCAATAAGCAATAGATTTGATACTGTCTCAGAACGTAAATAACAATTCAGTAAGCAATAAATGTTACACTATCTCAGTTTCTCTGAACGTAAAGATGTTTTTTTAAACATTTTAACAGAAGGTTTATGCATGTATGGCGTTTGACGTTTATTTTAAGAAAATACAATTTTTCATCTTGGAATATAACATGAACAAGATGTAAAGACTTATTTAATTTATTGAACCATGTTAATCATAACCATTTACTGTTACAGTACCCTTGTAGTAAACTTGCGGCAACTGTATGCTGGTAATTATTAGTAACTGCTATTGAAATACACAATTCCGGATTTACCTTAAAATATTAAACAGAAGACAAGTCATATTCAGTGGTACCTTATGTAAATGTATGTATTTTGGTACAGATGACAAAAAACTTGCAATGATAATTAAATTTAAAAACAAACAAGAAAAGACCAAAGTGTTGATACGTGAATGCTAACGATCAGTCTTAACCTCGAGGGTCATTATAAAAATAAAATGGTCATTCTGGTACTTTTGTTTTAATTTATTTTGTTTTCTGAAGTTTTCTGAAGTTTATTATTTTACTTCTTATAATTTTCAGATTTTTGTGCTCTAGCAAACTAATCAAAGTGAGAGCTTAAGATCAAACATTAAAAATAATTTTTCTGTTGCGTATGAGCTTTCTTAAATATCTCTTTCTATATGTTGTTATTGGAACACTCAAACATTTCCCCTCCATATAAACAATTTTTCTATCTACTAGTATACAAAATAAATTTGGACATCCGTATGCATTTTGACTCCACAGGTCCAAAGTCGGTATCCACAAATACTCTAAAACAATGCTTCCTGTAGAGATATTCTACTTTTTAATTATTTAACCTTAGTTGAAGACTCAATCATCATGTTAAAAAATTGAATTCTTATCAATGAATACTCCGTTGCAAGTGCAATTAAAATTCATAGAGAATCTCTGCTGAAAAAGCAAATAACATGTTGATAAAAGAACGATTTCCATGCAAACTTAAACAGAAACCTTATTTGAAGTCTTGAATTTATCCAAAATCATCCTTGTTAAAGGCTGCATCCCTTATTCCCTTATCCTTTGAGTGAGCCAAATTATTAAATGGAAGGAAATACAAACGACAAAAGGATCAGTGCACTTAAGCTATGAGAGTTGGATCCCGGTGCTTTGCCAATAATAAATTTCCGAAATTTATAAACTTTTTGAATCAGAATTATTAAACAATATCTTAAGAGCAGGGTTTGATATATTATATCGCATAAAAATATTAAATAATGCCGAGCGACACTGGTTTTTGCGACAGGGGTCTAGCAGTTTTGTCACATTTCTATTGTTATTCATATGCATACCAGTTTTCAACGACATTGTTTACATCGAGCCGCAACTTGTCCATTCTCCTCATTTGCACAGAATGTGTATTTTGATTTAAACTTATACATATCTAAAGGGCAATGTTGGGCAATTTGCGGCTCATATGTAATTTTTTAAAAAATTCTCCAAACTACGCTCGGGTTAGCTACTAAATTAACAGGTCACCGAGTGTCAACCTATTTCGACCTGTTTGATCTTATAATCACTTTACTCACGTGACATTCCACTGTTCGATATGCTTCCATTGTGTCTATCAATGGACTTCAGGGCTGTACATGTACACACGGATATGTATTTAAGTACAAAATCTGACTATGTATAGACTTTTAATACGGTGAATCCTAAGATTTTTCGAATCTTATAAAACTGTATTAAGAATACGGCAATGCGCTATTTCTTAATACAAGTCTTAACTTACCTTTCATTTTTCAACCAATCAAAAGTACTCACATTGTGGTCATCATAATTTTATCATAACAAAAAAAAGCACGTGGTAAATAATGGTCGACTTTGGCAGTAAAAATATCGAAAAACTCGTTGATTTATGGGAAGATCAAAAGGAGTAACTACATGTACAGTCCCTGAAACGTTCTACTTTCCCACTTGAACGGTGAGCGAACGCTGAACGAACGCAGAGCGAACGGTGAGTGAACGATGTGTGAACGCTGAACGCAACTTGGTGAACGATGTGTGAACGGTGAACGGTGAGCGAACGCAGAACGCGAACGGAGCGCAAACGCGAACGCAAAGTGAACGGTGAACGAATGGTGAACGCAAGATGAACGATTTATTCGGAATGCCTCTGATCTCTTCCTTGCATTGAAACTATTCTATTGTATGTACGCCTAGTGCTAAAAAATAAATGAATAATAAATAAATAAACAAATCAATGAAAACTGTCCTAAGAAAGACGATACATGCACATTAAGTAAAATTATTAATTTAAGTTTCGTACAATATTTTCTGCAGATATGTACGATGTTCAAATTCAACTTTTTAATAACACGATTTTTATCGCTGTAAAACATTGTAATTGTTACCGAACGCTGTAGTAATCTAGTTGTAAAATAAATATGTTTATTCTTATTTGATATATAAAACATTATAAATAATGTGGATTTTAGAAGAGCAAACTACGGACTTATAGAATGAATCACAACGGTTGTAACAACCATATATCTATACATGTATATCCGTGCCAAGGCGATTCCGTGTAAAAAAAAAAAATGAGAAAAAAAAATAAAATATTTTACAAAGGTATGTGGACGTATTGCATAAATACGCCAGTATTTTAAAATTTTAATGCAATAATATACTGATCTGTCAGTTTTATTTTTTATGATGATTTATTGAGCAGACTTATACATGTATCTGTAGACATTTCCCGGCCGTGATTATACTCGGACAAGATGATACAAAGAGGCATTCATATTATTTGTTATATATTAAATTTTCACAACTTGATATTTAAGTAATATGCTGTCATAGTTTTTATTAAACAGACGAGAGAGAGAGAGAGAGAGAGAGAGAGAGAGAGAGAGATTCGGTTTTAGCCCCCCCCCCCACTTCCTCAAATGTTTGTACCTATATCAAATAAAAATTCTTATTTTTTTTCCAAATATATCAGTCAATGAAAGTAACCATTTTTATCAACAAATCCATTTGTTTTACAGTCATAATCGGTTTTTATTTTCCTGCTTCAAGTTGACACGAAGTCCACGTGCTTGACCTGTCAATCAAATCATTCGACACTGTGCAGGTGTGAACGTCTCGTCACACCGAAGGCAAAGTGTTAGTATTTCCAAGAAGTTTTAAGTTAAACATTTTTTCTTATCATTTTTAGATCTGATTCCAACACTTCTAAAAAATAATAAATGAATAAAATACATTGGGAATAAACACTTGGAATGATTAAACCGCTTGAATTTGAAACATATTCCCTGCTAATTTAAAATATCACCGCCGGCACATGTATATTTTGAATTACTATTGTTTAATGACTTTGTTTAGATGCATGTTTGTTTTGAGACTGAATTTTTTGTGCTACAAAACACATTAACTTCTTTTTAAATGTTAATTAAAATATACTGGACATACATGTACTAATTAAGTAACCGATTTAGGGGAAAGGGAGGGGGGGGGGCTCTTAATCATATCGAATGGCAAAATTACAAAGATACGGTGAAAAATATCATTACTGGAGAATCACTTTGGTTATATTAATGATAATCATGTTATAAAGGCATTTCTCTCTCTCTCTAATTAAAGACTTTATACATGTAAAGTAGTAAAAAAAATTCTATAATGTATTACGTTTTAAACAATTTTTTTTTCAATCCACACTATCAATTTAATTCGCTCTAAAGATATTTAATTAACTGTATATCCACAGTACTGTTTATAATCCTCAGAATTAGTTCTAACATGTATTTCTGTATTATTTGAAAAAAAAATGTGTTAGAAATAAATATTTTCGTATTTCTGATAATAATGATTCTTTAAACACGATATGTTAATTATTAAATTTAAAACCTGTAAATCCTTACTTAAAAAAGATAAGTCCTTTCAGTTCGGAGTTCCGAATGGCAATAAAGACTGAACGATAAGTGAACGCTGAACGCAAGGTGAACGCAAAGTGAGCGAACGGTGAACGCTTTGTGAACGGTGAACGCGAGCGCACGGTGAACGCTGAACGCAAAACTGTGAACGGAGAGCGAACGGTGAACGCACGGTGAACGAACGGTGAGCGAACGGAAAAATGGGAAAGTAGAACGTTTCAGGGACTGTAATTGTAAAAGTTGCTCAAATGCAGCGTTATCTATTCTAAAGAAGTTTTATAACTACTGGGGTCTTCTCTTTGCACCTCATCTAGCGATGCATTGTGTGCACCAAGTACATATACGAGTGTTCCGCCGCTGTTTCCATTACGATGTTTTTTTTTCAGTTTTAATGCAATGTATAATACGATAACAGATACTGCTAACAAAACCTCGTTTTCCATTATTGAGAGAGAGAGAGAGGGAAACACGTAGAAATCCCTAAAGTCTATTAACAATCTAATAAAACGTATAAACGTGTGTACAGGAAAGTATTATAATACAAATATAATACTTGTATTAAACAGTAACTACAAATCTCACCGTTTGTACCGGCCTGAACAACTTCAAAATAATGAAGAATGTTGCGAAAATGTTATTAGGGTCTTAAAGTTTACCTTGTCTTCTTTCACTAAATTGTGTTTTTCGTTTGGTATTTTGAAGGAAATTCTGGTACTGCCAGTGCAAATCAAGTGCACGATTAGTATGTAGCTGTGTTAGCTCATGTCGCCTCTGTATTATGGTCTGCAGGCATCTACAGACACATCCCTAAACACTAGTATCATACCTGACAATATTTGGATTGCCGAAATGAAAGAGATATTGAAGACATAAGCGAGTGATTATCGATATAGTAACGTAGAATTTTCGTTGACCATGTTTTTAAATCTGAAATATACTTGTTCTGTCAATAAAATGTTAATTTAAATTACAGATAGTTTGTATTTCTTGGAGTTTTCGTGTTAACCTAGCGACTCCAATTTTAAGTTAAAATTTTATATTTCATTTCCGAATGTTATTTATCTATACATGCATATAATAAAATATGTATCACCGTGAGTACTACATACATGTATAATTTGTTTCACCACACGTTTGTATTACTCTACGTACTACATGTACAGTGAATTACGATTAAATGTAGTGTGACATCGAAGTCATGTACATGTGAATCTTTCTTAAAACATACATTCATTCTTTGAATTGAAAAGCATTCAGCATATAAAACGAAAAATGATCAAGCTAAAGAAAAAAGAGGGGGCATTTTTTATCATATACGAAAACTTAAGATTGATCTAATTCGAAGCTAGGCATCAAACATATGGTTACGAATCATGAAAATGATCAATGATCACTTATTATTTGTGTGAATCATGAAACTACACAATCTTTCTCTCCTCCATTTAAATTCATACTGTAGAATCAATCTAGAAATAATGTGCAAATGTTTACATTCCACTTCCATGCGATTTAAATATCTCCGCCCATTTGCGTTACCTTAAATTCGAAAGTGGTCCAGTTCAAATTTCCGGAATTTAAGGCTTATATATGTTCTTTTCAATGACGCTGTGTGGAATTATAGCAATATGTTTAACAAAAAAATCGAAGTATAAATATCAAAAGCATATGTATGCACAATAATCATAGATTAATTTAGCAATATAGTCTAATTTAAGGCTTAAAATGGGTGGCCGAAAAGGCTCCAAATGACACTCTAAAGTGCACTCATTCTTTGACATCATTTTTTACGGGTATGTATGCTACAAGTAAAAAGCTTTGTAAAAGTTTGTTAATCATCGAAATTCGTTTATCGTTGACTTTGAAGACAGTAATTCTTACCATCCGATGACGTCATTTTCAAGAACAGCGATCCTTTCATATTCCACAACAGTGTACACAGTTGAATTAACACCTTTAAAAGATATTTTTACGGAAGAATTTTTGTATATGAGTGATTCAGTACAATTTATTCTACTGCAAATTTGCAATTGAAATAAGCAAATTTTATTGCATGCAAAATCAAAGATAAAAAAATTACCATAATCGCCCGTCCTACAGGAAAATTCATTTATGTACACGAAAACGTAAGACAACAAATAAAATACCTTCAACATAAATTGTGTTGAAAGCTACCAGCTTATAATTATTCCCAGTAGGTCTCCACACCATAAAATCTATCCATCCAGACCTCGAATAAGAAAACTCCCAGGACGTGATACGTGAGCAAGTGGTTATTATAAATACATAATCTGTCATCAGGTACATCATTCCTAACGATAAAAACAAAAATCTGATAAAAACTTTACTATAATTTTAGCTTGTTCTCTACAGAGTGAAAGAAAAAAGCAGTTCACTTTGTGTTAACTTCGGCAAAATCATTATAGAAACTTAGCTAATTCGAGTGGCAAACCGAAGTGCGCGTTTTCTGGGAAATTAAATTTAGTTGTATACTTAATCATAAATGGTTACAACAGTGATCGATCTAGAAAGTAAAAATAAATATCTGTCTCTGTAAAGTATATCTGTTAATTATAATTTGTATCTTTTTTAGCCAAGTTATACAATTGAATGTAAATGCACAACTATCATTGTATAGGATGTCCTAAAAATAATGCTATTAGAAAATACATTTGAATCTTCTTCTTGTAATACTAGGAAAAACTAAATGAAAGTAATGATAAATTGTACAATACCTCTTGATCCTCCTGTGTTTGCTGTCAAATCCTTTGGATACATATATATTAAACTGTTAAGACAAGGAGCAGCTAGAAAATGGAAGGTAATGAATTTTTAATGAACATAATTACATTAAATCTCTACGTGAAGAAATACCACTACAAAAAATTAAAATTAATTGTGCTTACCGACGTCTTTGTTTCTTAAGGAGACACCAGTGGTGGTAGTTATTTGTGGAGACGGACACTTGCTAATGGCTGATAAAACGGCAGCTTCAATAGATGACAGGTCCTCGTAGGAGGAGGCAAAAAAGTAACGGCTATTGTCACCAGCGGCTTCCTTATATTCCGGCGCATAGGTACTGTTTATATCTTAAATTAAAAGTAAATATCATTACTCAAGATTCGTCTTGATTGGTGGATTTTTGAGATTGTTCACAATTATTTATCTTCACCTTTTGCATATCAGAGAGAGAGAGAGAAACAAGACTCAAAGGCAAAACGCTTCACATTCATATTCTCTCGTCTTGACGAAGTGAAAAATGTATAAATGAATCTCCTTACCTTATATAACACGTTATGAGTGTTAAATTGTGATTTGTTTGACCAGAAGACAAAATCATTGTCTGAAGTTTAATTCAAAATCTGATTTGTTTGACTGCACACGGAGTTTATGTCTCCCAATTGATAAGCAAGAACATGATCTATGTACAATTTCAAAAAACGGGGCAGGTTGTTGACAAATAAGTTGATGGGACAAAGATTCTAACAATCTCGTTTAAAGTCAACATTTCGCAAATTCTACGGTCGAGACAATGACTTTGTCAGCAAATAAAATCTATCATTGAGTTGAATATTGACTGGCATTTTTCATACAAATTGTTGGGCCATTGTATTCACACTCGATTTTCTGCGGATCTTTTCGTTTGTCCGATCATGACAAGGAGCACAAGGCGGGCGTGACCGGTCGACAGGGGATGTTTACTCCTACATGACCCCTGATCTCACCTCTGATATTTGTTTATTTTTTATTTATTTTTTGTTTTTTTTTGTTTGATCTGTTCCAAATTAGTATTGTTTTAATTGACTTCTGAGTTTGATTACTGTTCGTTATCTTCAAATTTCATTTTATTTGAAACACTTGAACAAAGAGAATGAAATATTCTCTGTGTTTAACATAAATCCTTAATGCTATTATATCATAATTAAATATGAAGATAAAGAACAGTAATCAAGTTCAAAAGTATATTGGAACAAAACAGATTAAGAACAGAGCAAACAATGACCTCTGAAAACATCAGAGATAGTAAAGGTGCCATGGAAGAGTAAGCATACATACCCTGTCGACAGGTTACACCTGCCGTGTGCTCCTTGTCATGATTATGTAAATGGAAAATCCGCAGACAATTCAATTGAAAATAAGCATTCTGAGAATATTGCATTAGCAATACTAGTCCCCTACCGGCAAGTGTAATCTGGCCCCCGTTAGAAATTGAAAATGCTATAATTCCGTCAAAAATCAATGACGCGGAACGAAATGAAACTTGTTCTATAACTCATCGAGGTGAAGTCATATACAAAAAATCAGCTCAATATCTGAGCGTTTAGAAAAAAAAATGCGGAAAACCCTGAAAAATTAAAAAGGTCCTTATTCCGTCAAAAATCATTGAAGCGGAACGAAATGCAGACTTGATCTGTAACTCATCAAGATACACTCACATACCAAAAATCAGCTCAATATCTGCAAGCGTTTAGGAAGAAAGTGCTGAAAACCAAGTGGGACAGACTGACAGAGAGAGAGGGACAGACAGACAGCTACACAGACGGACGGACAGACTCAGAGAAAACCTATAGTCCCCTCCGGTTTCACCGGTAGGGGACTAATAATGGCTTAACAATATATTAATTTGATTGAAAAAATGTCAATCAACATCGGCTTAACGACAGAATTTATTGGCTTAAAAGTGTATTGTATAGTCTATAGAATGTGCGAAACGTCGACTTCAAATGAGACTGTTGATACATGATCACATTTGCCTCGTTCTAGATATTGTTCGTATGTAGAACGTGCTCTGGCGTATCGACATGAGTTCTTACTTACCAACGGCAAAGACCTGGTCAGGCCAGTTAGCATTTATAACAGTTCCTTGTATAGCAGAACCAGCCCTTATTCCATCCACGGAAAAGACATAGTAATTGGCTGCGTCCGCGCGATCTCCGTTGGCATCTGTGAAGTAGGTTGTTCTTGCATACAATAAAGCTTTGTCCAGTAGGTTCTTTTGGATCGAACCCTCTGGTATCTTCATTATGGCTTTACTTACGTCGTCACTGGTCGTGTGTGTTTGAAGATCAAATTGTCTATATCCTTTATAGTCGTACGTGATGACACCTATTCGTACGGTGTCTGATGATACGCTGATTTGCCGTGCAAGGTTGGCAAAAAAGCTTTTCAGGTACATGAATTTTGCACCGGCAGAAGAACCAGAAGCCTCCAGCATAAATAATATATCTAGCTTGCAATCTATAAACAATAAAATTGATAGGACATTTTAAAAAATATTTTTCGTTTAATGTCATTTGATCAAAGTGAAAAAAAATCTCATGAATACATTCTAATTCACCAGAATTTAGGGTTTCTTAATCAATATAGTTAGTTTAAGTACATTAAATTAAGATGTTGATATTAAAATTAAAGGTCATGGCTATTTCAACTCGTATCGTTTTTTTTTTTAACCCAAACGCTTTTATAGTACCATTTTAGTCAGAATAAAACACAAGTGTAATCAATGCTCGTGTTATCAACGCGTTATGTGTTTTATAAAAAGGGTGCGTTCTCGCCTACACTGAGATATAATAATTAATTTGATGGAAAATGAATACAATTACTACAATAAAATGGGAATTTTGCAAAGGCACGAAGGAAACTGCCTTCTGTGATTTATCAAAATAATATCAGCAATTACCAATACAGCAATGAGTGAATTATGCTATTTAAGTGTAAATATTTTAAAATTTTTTTAGATATGCCATATTTAAATGTATTATTTAATATAAATCACTGTAAAAATTTTACAAATTTTACAGGAATAAATTTACTCAAAATAAGATTTATAAAGATTTATAAAGATACAATTTACATTGACTGATGTGTACGAGGTTTTTCATAATTCGCAACAGTGTCTACATGTAAGAAAAAATATCAATTTAGACGTACTGACTCCTTTTTGTCTTTTAATATTTTAGAAAATAGAATTTAATATCATATTACATAAACACATGTTAAAAAAAAACAAAAAACCCCCATAAAATATGAACATTATTCATTACTATAATTGTCCACAAAAGGTAGACAAAGCGTTTAACATGCTCATGAACTGCGATAAATCCTGATGCAAGAAAAACTGAGAGTAAGCAAATCGTTTTACTCTGCATCATGAAATTTTTTCAAATGCATTTGTAACACGTCCTGATTAAAATGTCAAAAAATTACTGATTATAGTAATTTTATATGACTTTTAAAAAAAAGAAGAAAGAAACGTTTCACCAGACTTACTGGGCGTAGCAGGAGGTACAGGGTCCTCTGTGGGGCACTCAGTAATGTTGGAGACCAGACCTTTGCTATTACACTGAAGTTCTATAAAATTGCTGGCTGACATGTACCTTCCTTCAGTTACTGCACCCTCAAAATCAGAGTCGAAGCTTGATGATACATTAGCACCTGAAAAAAATTCTAGCATTTTTTCGGATGCTCGGCAGAATATCATAAGAATGGTCTTTGAGCCATGGAATCCGAAATCTTTATTTTAAACTCTTTGCAGATAACAAACAAGAATCATAATACTTAAAGGCAATGTGAATAAATACCAAGTATGAATAGTTCGACCATTGAATTGTACTGGATGGCTGCTCCATAATCTGACACTTGCATGCCATAGGAACCTCCATATGTTAGAACAACGTAGAAATTCTTAGCATCTTCACGCTCTCCGTTCTCTTTGGTGAAGAAGTTCCAGAGGGTGTACAAAAGAGCTTTATCCACCAAGCGGCGATCCCGACCGTACGCTGCATTTCCTTGAGTTATGCCGTTAATAGCAGTTTTCACATCAGATGCAGTAGAGTACTGTTTTAGGGGGAAAACAGTGGTTGCATCGTCACCGTAAGTTACGACCCCTATTCTTACTGCATTGTCACCGACAACTATTTTGGTGACAAGACTAATAAGGAAAGTTTTCATTTCCTGGAACTTGGATGCGCTGATAGTGTCTGTGTCATCAATTATGAAGGCTAAGTCAATTTTACAGTCTGAAAAACATTTAAACCAGATGATGTTGAAACAGTTTTTAATTATATAAGCTTTGGAGTTCAATAATACAAAAGAATATTTCGGCAATAAATTTTTAAACACTTAGTTTAGTATTAAAGAGAAAATGTTTATTGAAACAGCAGGGGATTTAATGTGCTTATATCTCATTTATATGTATTATATAAACTTCGTAATTTTCATGAAAGCACCAACTACTGTAGATTTTTTTTATTTCGTGTGGTGTCAACGTGAGCAACCAAAATTGGGAAGGTATTTCTTGGTTAAATCTTAAATAAAGGAGTTCAGTAAACCGAGATACACTGATAATATAAAAGTTATTGATCAAAGAGATGAAAAATCTTGGGCAAGGGTGAAACAAAATTCATGGACATCCCCCTTCCCGAACAATGATGATTCCACAGCAATGAAAAGACCGAAAAATAAATCCGTCGTTTATGGAATCGTTTCAATTCATTTTATGCATAGATTATTAATATAAAAATTGTGTTAAAAATGATTTAACATTCAGTGTTTAGGTGCAGAAAAAGTTGCAGCAAATTTGTTTGTTTGTTTATTGTTTAACGTTTCTGTCGAGAATTTTACACTCATATGGAGACGCCACCACTTGTCGGTGGAGAGCTGCAAATTATGACCTATACACGGCACTTAGGGCCATTGAGTAGTGAGGGATCTTTTTCATGCCAGCACCTTCTGCGACACGGGACCTCGGTTTATACGGTCTCATCTGAAGGACTGGAGTTGCAGCGAGTAAAGAACAGGAAGATAAAATTCTAAAATCTCAACAGCACACAGCTGCAAAAAGATATTTCACAAGATTACTTCATGAATTGATGGATATCCATAATTCTACTACGGTTATCGCGAAGATCAAAGAGATAACGCAGCCATTATTCTCCAATTAATCACAAACGTCATCAACAAATTATCAATAATTTTAAATCGGTTTCCTCTAATTTTGACTGTGTTTACAAGGAAAAGGAAAGACTGAGGTATTTTTGATTGTGACCCAAATTGGAGAGGGAAAAATTACTTTGGTTTCGGATAACCAACATTTCAATTAAGAGCAATTTTTTTTCTTACCTTGGTTAATTATCAAACTATTATTAAAAAGACTAGAGACACAATTCTTAAGGGGGCGTCTTTACATGTTTGGTCCAAAATTGTTCAACGCACAGGCAGGTAGATATTGAATCAGGTCACAAAAAACCTGAATCATCAGTTTTTGATTCATATATTTTAAATCAAAGTAAATCAAAAGTACCTTGAGTTATTTCAATTATTGCTTCACATGAAGTGATCTTCTGTATAAACTGTTGTCTGATGTTGACCAGGTTATCATATGAATCGGCATTGGTGTATCTTGTATAATCACCACAAGAATCAACAGATTCCTGGTATTCGGATTGAAATGATGAGCCGATATCTGCAAAAATATTTTTTTTTAAAATTACTTGATATTTTTATAATCCCATTTATTGTCTACAAAAAAATTCAATACATGATCTGTAGAAACTTACGAGCTGCAAAGACAAAATTGTTTCCACTGCCCCTGATTTCGCGCGAAACAGCAGCCGTTTCGCTGTAAAATGGCCCCACAACAAAAACGTAATGGTTATTGGCATCTTCACGGTCATCTGTGGTCGTGAATACGCTGTCCCGGGCTTTTTTTAATCCTTCGTATACAAAGTGATCCGATCTAGTTCTGTCAGGCACATTTTCAATTGCTCCCCTGACGGACTCGGAGCTTGTGTAAGTTGTAAGCCCAAACTCCTTTGATGCCCCGGAATCATATGTTACAAACCCCACTCTTACTCCATCAGAAGATATTGGAATATCCTCCATTAATCCTGCCAAGAACGTCTTTGAAAAACGCATATTATAGCTTTCAACTATAAACGCAATGTCCAGCTTGCAGTCTGAAAATTGTATTAAAATAGAATTTGTGTATTGTACAATAGGCAGCAACTTTGCCGTTAAAAATTTGCAAATCACATTTTAAAATTAAACAAAATAACCCATACAAGATCACTTTGACTTTATATATTCGTAATAAACAGAAATCCACACACTATCGGGACTGTATATTTTGTTATTGAGTTTGTTATTGATATCCAAAATTACATGTGTTCCCTTTTATTTATGCACAACTGATCAGGATTGTCAGAAACTGCTATTTTAATTTCTGATTGCATCGAATACCTTTGTTTGCTATTTAATAGATGTTTATCCAGAGCTTGTTCTTTTTTTTCCAAACAGTAAAGTTGTCGAGATCGACTGCATGAAGCATGATTGTACTTTCCACAAGTGAATATGAAAATAAGGCCCTATTATGAAGACCCACCATTGGCAGACGTTTCTATGAGGGTTTTTTTCTTTTCATTATAATTATTTAATTATGAAATACATTCTTCTCTATTATACAACTTGATATTTTGACTTACCTACTGTCACGGGATCAGGGAGAGCTGTTGTCGGACAAACAGCAATTTGCTGTAGAATATCATTGAATTTAGGATATAGATCTGCCGGAGAGTTTACTTGCCAGTACCTGCTGTCATCTCCAGCGATCGCCTTAAGATCAGTGACCAAAGAAGAAGGAGGATCAATGCCTGAAATTCAATGGGCTTTATAATTAGCAATACATGTATTCTAAAATTTCTCTGTTTTACTATCACATACATTAATAATTATTAACTCCACGACTTTTGAAATTGTTTAAATTTAATACGATATTTCCTCATTTTTGAGAGCGTTGTTTATTATAAAAACTGAGCCATTACGGGGATTGGATTCTCATAAGGGCATTTGGTGAAAAAGATTACACTCTTTATTGGAATATAAAAAAAGTTATAATTATGAACTATCCTTAATATGTACGACTAGATGAAATGGAAGAAAGACTCGGTAAAAATGTATCAGAAGCTGTCAAGAACAAATTTTGTTTTCAAAGCCTTTGGTAATTTATTTTAAAAAGTTGACTTTCTCCCCAGCCTAAATTATTTACAACCACCATGATGAAAAAGATAAACGATTCCTCTAGCTACTACAAGAACATTATTGCAAAGTACAAGTTAGTAATTATGCAGATCTTTTCCTGTGGTCAAATTTACAGCCTATTTTAAAGATTCTTAATTATTTTGAGAAAAAAATGTAGAGAAAGTTAATGAGTTTGACACAAGCTGGCTAAAAATTAAAGTAGATAACATCCTAAGAGGAAAATACAATAACTATACTTAAACCATGCCTTTAAATCTGGCAGGAAACTGTAGTATACAACATTTGTAAATATTTATTATTATCCATACCATCAGAAAAAAATTTCCCTTCTCAATATCATTGGAATTACTTGCATAATTTCTTTTACCGATTGTAAAAACTTGATTCTTGGAGATTTGTCGAATAGCATTTGCCACAACTGAGCCGTTCAGAGAATGTGTTTTAGCTACAAGAACAAAATGTCTGTAAGCTTCGAATCTGTTTCCATTGGACAATGTAAAGAATTCGTAAAATCCGTATCGCAAAGCCTCGGCCAAGTCAACAGACGAAGAAGCACTTGATATTGATAATGACGTAATAGCACTGCCTAACGATGATGCGGAAGAGTAGGCATTAAACTTGATATTCTGGTCTACTGTGTCGTCATAGGTTATAACCCCAACTTGTATATCACTCGCTGAAATTTTCAACGCTCCCGCCAAATCGCCAATGGCCTCTACTAACGCTGAGTAAATGGAGGACGTATATGAGGATGCCTCGATGATGAACAAAATGTCAATTTTGCAAGTTGAAACTGGAAAAAAAAACGAATTACTGTAATTTACACATTCCACAATAAAATCATGTAAGGAGGAATCAAAAGATTTGTTTTACGCTAACCTGAACAGACCAAGGGATATCCCGACCAAATCTGCCCAAACCCACAGGTACGTTGTGTGTTTCCTGCAGTTTGTTTGTATCCAGACGCACATGCGTATGTGCTCACTTCATAGCAGCCAGTTTTGTCAGCAGTGATGTCAACGTTACTGTTTTTTTTCTGTATGCATGCAACATCTGATAAGGAAAAACAATGTGTAGCTAGCATGATAATTTGTTTCAAAAATGTTTCATGCATCTGCAATTTCAGAAAGAAATAAAAGTAAATTATCAGTTAACAAACCGTTTGGAAATCTCCATTCACCGCCTGAACCCCATCCTGTCTTGATCAAGATATAATTGGCACCGAAAGGAGTGGAACGTGTACAACTCATGATAATATTACTGCCGACTGTACTACCGGTGCCGGCACGGATATAATTCCCGGACCATGAAATCCAGAACTCGTCGAAGAAAGTTTGGTCCAGAATATTTTGGCTGTGTGCATCACATTCTGTACCACCTATACCATTCCTGATGGCAGATTTTGTATTTGCCCATCCGCCATAGATAATTTCATAGTGTGTACCACAGTTGTCACAATCGTCGGTACCAATGGCAATGTGTATGTCATTGTTTGCTCTTGCTCTGAATTTCAGATTGTCCCTACCCATCGCTACTAAACAATTGGACGTCAGACTAATGTAAGTTTGGTCATCTGGTGTATTTTTACTGATTTCTGTGGAAGCTGTTAAAAAGAAACAATCAAAATAGTAAGCCCCAAGAAATCAGAAAAAAATGCATCGTTATTATGTTTTCAACATTTCCTACATAGAAACTAGGTGCAAAATCTTAAATCCAGGGTAAATATTCTTCTAAAAGCCTAGAGCCAGTGCTTTAGTAATATGAGAACCTTTCAATGTGGAATTTTTTGACAGAGTTCTTCTTCATATGACGTGAACGTGAGTAAGTTGTACTTTCAGTTTCAAAAGAAAAATTATTTGTTAAAAATGATAACATGGTTCCTTTTGAACTTGAAAACCACACTTAGGTTAGAGTTTAGGCAAAGCGAATGAGCCTCGAGTGGGGAAAATACAGATGTTTTTGGCCGTGGAAAATATACTTA